AATATAAAGCAGCGTGAGTTTGAGCTGTTGCACTAACAAAAGGGTAAAAAACAACTACCACATAATGCATCTGAGGAGAATGAAGCTGTAGCTACTGCACAACTCAGTAATATCTAACCCTAATCCTACTCTCAGCTAGGTGGAAATCAGGCAATACGTACCATTTACAAGTAGAACTATGTGAGTGAATATGCTCTCTAACAAAGACATTATTATCTATCTATCTACTTGCTAAAAAGTGCAAATCTAGAGTAAAACCGGATATTAAGGTGACGTTTATCATCAACAACGTCTGCGGTTTTTAGAAAGAAATCTTTATAGGCAGTGCTTCACCTACCTGCTAAGAAAAGTTAGCAGAAAAGGGTGCATGAAACTGAACATTTCACATCGTTAGAAGACATTTCCCATCCGAATGCCGCTCTGTTCTCAGACCTAAGATCGCTCACCTTTTCCTGAGCTCAGAATCCACCACCACCTGCCTCTTCTTCTGCGGGGGCGGGGACTCGCGGGTGTGCCGCAGGGCGGGCACCTTCTCCCGCGTGGTCACCTTGGTTACGGTGGCCGTGACCGAGTGGGTCAGCTCCGACTGCTTGGCCACGCTGATGGCGGACGCCAGCTGGACACCGAGAGAGGGGTCAGATCCATTCGGTCAACACGTCACCCTAGTCACAGCCCTCCCATCAGGACCAAAACCACCAGGAACCTGAACAGTGTCTTCCCCCCCAGGCCACCACCCTCTTAAATAAGGACATCTCTGTCACGAAGGTGGATCCTAGGGAGGACTCAGTCGCGGATATTGGTGAAAACAGGGTTTATTTTAACAAAAAGGCACTCAAAAGGAGTGGATGTCAAGACAAAGTTCAAAACAAGGCTGTGACAAAACTATGCACAAAGTATCAAAGCAAGATTTAACACGACTGTGGCAAAAGTATCAAAATAAAGTAGACAAGACTATGGCAAAACAAGGTTAATCAAGACTGTGGCAAAGGTATCGAAACAAGACTATAGCAAAAGTATCAAAATAAAGTAGACAAGACTATGGTAAAACAAGGTTAACAAGACTGTGGCAAAACAAGGCTATGACAAAAACATGGCTATGGCACAAAAACAAGACTATGGCAAAGTGCAAAAAAACAAAAACCTTACGTGGCGAGGGGTGACGAAAAGACGAAATGACGAAATGACAAAAATGACGAAAACGCACTGGCACAGGACAGGGGAAACAAGGACTATTTAAACACATGAGGGAGGGGAACCCCAGCTGTACACAATAGGTAATCAAGACATGACGACACACCAGACATTTCCCCAAACGTGACAATCTCAGCCCTCCAGCCACTTCTACAGACTCTTAGTCACCTAAAAACACCTGAGCATGACACCTGTTCTTCTCCTGTGTATTGTACATACACTACATATTGCACTTACAGTACCTACTATTTACTTCTAAGCCACATTCAAAATTTGTAATCCAACTGGGTCAAATTCCTGTGTGCATTTGGCAGATTTCTGATTCTTTCGAAGTGACTTCAGAAGGCCTGTCCCGGTATGCCCGATATCCCTGGCATACACAGCCTTTATTTCTAACCTAAAACTGGATGGGAAGCGGGTATCCAATGGCTCATGCTGTTGACTTTGGCTGACATACCCGGGAGCTGTTGGTTTCCAGCCTCTGAAGCAGGCCGTCCCACCGCTGGGCTAAGCTTTCCAGCCGGGCCTCCAGCTTGCTGGCCACCTCTTTGTTCTTCACGCTGCTCAGCAGGTCCTGGCTAATGGAGCGGAGCTTGTCCATGGTGGAGCGTTTGGCCTCCAGGTCTGCTTTCACTGCCTGGTGACAGGTGAGCGCAAGCGTTTCAGGGTAACTGGAGGGGGGGGTAGCGGGACTGTGGCGGTTAGACTCACGGCCAGGCGGCAGGAGCAGGAAACCATCTCTGCCTGATCCTTCAGGTTGGTTGTCTTAATGGAGGCAACCAGGTCCTCTTTCTGGGTCAGCCAGGAGTCAAACAGGCACTGTAGGGGAAACAAATGAATGACATAAACAGAAAAAAAGTCTAACAAGGGCATAAAAAAAGACAAGACAAAATCCAAAGACAAAATTATATAGGGATTCCTCCATTATGGGTTTTCCCAAAATGACCTTTTAATCACCAACTACAAACTGCAGGCAATTTGATTTGGGCTAGAAGCGTGTCATTAAAGAGGTCACTGGTTTGAATCCCAGTTGGGGACCTTTGGTTTGAACTCAAAATCTAAAACAATACATATAGGGTTAATCATGCAAAGGGTTCAAATTCAACTGAATGTCAAGGAATGGAGAAGCAGAAATTAATCGAATTAGGAGCAGGTGAGATGAACAAATGATGGCGAATGGAAAACATGCAAAAGGAAACTCATGATAAAAAAAAGAAACAGAGAGTTGGACAACAGGACGAAACATAAAAGCAAATATAAATGAAAATGTAAAATAATCAGAAAAGAATAATAACCTTTCTCAAAGCTGATCTATTTGAAGCACAATGTGTAAATCTAAAGGGCTTAATTTCCCTCATAGAGAATTAATAAGGCCAAGAAATGGCAGAAAAACTGATAAAATAAAAACGAGTTCATAATAATCCCTTTTAATAACTACTCTCCTTTCATCTAAACCCCGAAAATCGATTTACCTGATACTCATACATGGTTGATGATTATTTATCTCAGTTGGCCCATCACGTTTTTACAGAAATAAAAAAAAATAAACATGATTAACTAATTATCATTTTAAGAAGCTCGATAATTCGGATAACTGTTCGGTTTGAGCCTTCGAAAACAGCCTTAAAAAGTTTCCAAAACTCAACGCATTGTGTTTAACAGCAAAATTACACGTATTACGGCAAACTGTTTCCCGCCTCTAAACACTTAACCCCAATTCAACCGGAGAAATGTCTGGAATGTGATCCTCCGCCCCACTTTTTTCCCCTTCTATTAAACAGTTAGGACACAACAAAATGGGCAAAATCTCCTTTATTTAAGGGACGCGAAAGGCCTAAAGGGATACATTCATTATCCACAAAGCTCTTTGTTTCATTATCAAATGGGGTGATTTGATCAAAATGCAATTAATCAATATTATCCACTTACAGTTCCTCTGGTTGTGATTTATTTGTTAATTAAAGTAGCTATTTCTATACAGACACACACAAACACATATATATATATATATATATATATATATAATCTTCTACCTGCTCATTTGTGAAGTGCTGCCATTTCAATAGAATCTCCTGAAGCAGAATCCAGCGTTCCTCTGTCCATCTGCAAATAGCTGCCCAGCGGTCACCAAGAACCTGCACAGAGGGCCACTCTGAATCATCTGGTTAGCACCACCGGAGGGTTCTGGGTAGGAGTCCCAGGGGAACCAGGACCAGAGGGTTCTGGGTCGGAGTCCCGGGGGAACCAGGACCAGAGGGTTCTGGGTTGGAGTCCCGGGGGAACCAGGACCTTTCTGGGTGGTTCTGCATGTTCTCCTGTGTCTGTGGGTTCTCTCCGGGTTCTCCGGCTTCCTCCCACCCTCCAAAAACCTGCATGTTAGGTTGTTGGACTCCAAACTGCCCTTAGTGTGAGTGTGTGTGGTTGTTGGTCCTTGTGTGTCTCTGTGTGTCCCTGTGATGGACTGGGGACCGCCCAGGGGGACCCCGCCTCTCCCCATTGGCTACTGGGATAGGCTCCGCCCCCCCCAGACCCCATTAGGGGATAAACGGTAACGATAATGGATGGTTCTTAATTCTTTGCGTTTTCCCCGTCCCTGTGCAATCTGATCACATATTGTGTTACAACTGATAAACACACTGTGAGTGCTTATAGAGGGGCTTTTATGATTTTATGATTACCAAAATGGATGGATGGTTCAACTCCATCTTCCTCCTCCAGGCCACATGTCAAGAGTCCTTGGGCAAGGCCCTGAACCCCAAAAATCTACCGGTTGCATCTGGTGTGCCTACTGGTGCAACCGGTTTGTGAATGTGTGTGTTGAGTAGGAGTATTTTGTGAACATACTGTATCTATGAAGTTTCTCAGTCATCCAGGTCATGGTCAAGCTTGTAAAGCTCAATAAGGCAACTGGACGTGAAGTCTCCTAGAAGACGTTTGGCCTCTCATCATAGAGGCTTCTTCAGTTCTAACTGATGGTGGAGCACTGAGATTAATATACTGTAGGTGGAACAACTATAATGGATGGAACAAAACCCCAAAATGGCTCTGATCCCTCCTACTGGATGGGCCATAGAGGCCACCTTTGTCACGATGGTGTTCCTGGCTGGGGTTTTTTGTCTCGTCTTATTGTGGTCTCGTCATTTCCTGTTTTATCTTTAAGAATAACCCTCATCTCGTTTCAGCTCACTTGCACTTCCTGTTGTGTCATCAGTCCAATTGTCTCCCTGATCTCCTATTGTGTACACCTGGGGTTCCCTTCCCTCATGTGTTTAAATAGTCCTCGTCTCCCCTTGTCCTGTACCAGTGTGTTGCGTCCCTTGACCACAGTGCCTTCTCTCGAACCATAGATTACCCTTGCCATAGAAAACCTTGCCTTGCCTCCTTGATCCCGTTCCCCGCAGTAGAGCCTCCTGAGTTTTTGCCTCCATTGACTGCCCTTTGTGTTTCCTCTCCTAGAGGTTCATTCCTTGATTTGACACTTTGTTCAGCTTTTGGTTTGCTACTTTTCCCAGCCTCGTTTTCGAGCGACTTTGCTTTTCTTCTTTGTCCCTCCGTGTTGGAGCGTTTTGATCTATACTTTGTGTCCACTCCTTTGAGTGTGTTTTTGTTGTAATAAATTTTGGTTTTTTGACTAAGTTCCGCGACTGAGATCCGCCGGCCTGACAACCTTGGGGAGTGCTACTGGTCGTTTTGGGGTTCTGATGGGACGTTTGTGGACGTTTGACTCATTCTGTGTTTGGGTAACCGGGTCTTTTTGCTTGTTCAGCCTCTGAGGTGAGTGTTGAAGCTGGCAGCTAACAATCCCCGGGCTACGCTACCTGGAGCTTGCTCTCCAGGTCGGCGGTGGCGCTGTCCCCGTTGCTCTCGTCCACCACCACCACCATGTGCGTGAGGGAGTTCACCCTCACCTGCTCCAGCTCCAGGTCCTCCTGCAGGAGCTGCGGCGCAAACAAAAGAGACCACAGGTCAACATCTACACTGGAGAGTCCAGATCGTTGCCAACAGTCAGATAGCCAGTGTCCTTCAGGGGTTCTGCAGGTTTGATTCAATAAGGCTGGATCAGGTGTAAAGAAGCAGGGAGGCTGCCCCAAAACGGTTTGGACAATATATATATTTTTATTAAAAAGGTGGTTGTACCATATATTGGCTTTCCAGGTTCATTTGAATAGTTAAGACAATATAATCATTAAAAATAAACAAACTATTGAAAATAGTCTCAGATTTTATACGACATAAAGGACCAAAACCAAACCAACTTCCACCATTGTTATACTTAATCCGAAACCGAACTATCAGCTAATCTTAGACAGTAATTTAGCATACGTGGGATTTATTCACACTTTGCGCGAGTGTTGAGGAGTGTATAACTTTGAAACACTCCCCTTTCCAGCAAATTACGCAGAAAATTACGCACCCAAGCAAAAAATGTGAATTTTTATTCCTGACCCTTGTCAATTTTTTGAAAGATAAAGTCCACTTAGTTTGGCCTTGATATGGTCTACATGGTTTTTCTGGCTTCCGACAACATTTACTGTCTTTTAAAACAGAGTAGTGTTAAAAACTAGCATCTTGGGAACGGAGGGTAGGGGGCTCGAATCCTGAGTGTCCAGTGAGGGTCCTTAGGCTGTTTGGACTGGTTTTAGCACGTCGATAGAGTGTCCATGTGAAACTCATCAAAGCTTCCTTATATCTGTACTCTACCAAAACACAGCTGGTGTTTTTCACTTTAAAGCAAAACAGGGTTATTTTCAAACCGTTACCTTGTGCTCCTCGACTTGGTGCTTGATATCCTCCAGATCAGGACCCAGGGGCTGAGCCCCGATCCTCTTGATCCGAGCCTCGGTCACGTCCAGCCAGTCGGTGAGCTGCTGAAGCTGCTGGTGCTGCAGGTCCATCAGGACCTCGTGGAGTCTGGGATTGAGACACAGCTCACAGTTCAGGGGGTGGAGGCTCAAAAGCTCAAAAGCACAGAGAGAAAAATGACTCGTCCAGGGAGGGAGGTAAAAGAAGTGTCTCTCAACTCTAAAGCGGTCTGGTTTAGTTTGTAAAGTTAGCAAGAATAAACATAATCAACATTATTAGTAGTATCATTATCACTCCACTTTAGATCTAATAGATCCAATAAAACTATATTCACAACAAAATCGTTACGCACTCAATAATCGTTAATTCTGATCTAATAAAAAAGACAAAGACTTTGTCTTTGACCGATTTGATCCGATTTTTCCAATGAATGTGGTCTATTGTGGAGATCTGTGTCAGTCGAACAAAACAGAAGATATTTTCTAATGAACAACACATTTTTCTACATTTCCCCATTTGTTTTGCACCAATCATTGGATCGCAGGTGCACCAATCTGGAAAAGACTTACAGACCTCTTCCCTTAAGACAGGAAACCAAACTGTAAATTGAGGATGACATAGGAACCTTTTCAAAATGGACTCTCTGGGTCTGAGCCATTGTTCTGCTCGAGGTTTCTGCCTGGAAGTTTTTCCTTGCCTGTGTCGCCTAGTGCTTGCTCATGGTGGGAATTGTTGGGTTTCTGTAATTAACTTCAGAGTAGGTCTGACCTGCTCTGTTTGGAAAGCGCTGTGAGACAACTGTTGTTGTGATGTGGCGCTATATAAATGAAATTGAATTGAATTTAATTCATTTTAATTTTGTAATGTCATTGTCTAAATGTGTGTTCGGACTGATTTTGTATTTTGTGATTTTGTGTTGTTTGGTCTTCCTGCCTCAGGACCACAGATGTAAACTAGCAACTATGCTAGAATCTGGCTCATTTACAATCTGTATGAGATTGTTCATTAATGTGCACTGTCCTGATTAAAGAAATAAATTAATTAATTAACAAGGCTTTGGACTGTGGATCCTTGTAGGTATTAGTCATATTCTCAGGCTTCTGCTCGATGTCGGAGGGGAAGAAGCTTTGCGTACCGGCTCTGTCGCTCCATGCTAGCCACCCTCAGGTGCTCCCACCGGGAGTTCAGCAGGTTCATCTGCTCCCTGATCTCCGAGTCCTCCTCCTCGGAAAGGTTTCCCTCGCTCAGCAGGGCGGCCCCGGCCCGGAGGACCCGCCCCACGCTGCCCTGGTGTGTGGTCAGCTCTACCATGTACCCCTGAAAGGGAAGCAGGGAGAATTCTCCACCTCACTAAAAAGGTCTGTGCGTCGTGGCCTAAGGTTTGCATGACTACTGACTGGTTCAGGAAATCTAAGATGCAACATGGATGGCCAATTGAAGGAGAAATGGTAGAACCAAGGGTCAAATGTCGTGACTCTCCTGCTGCTAATCGGTTTAACTGGTGGTGGGTGATTGGGAAAGACTTTGATTGTCGGTGCTTGTATGGCTTTTCTTGAGATACCAGGTGGGATAATGTCCAGCGCTACGATCTACAGAAGTCTATAGTCTATAGTCTACAGAACATCATCAGTGCTTCAGCTCTTTGCTTCATAATGTCTGAGTATCTCTTGCTTAATTAAAGATAAATTAACATGAAAAAAAAGGTAGATCTTCACATTTGGCTGTGAGTAAGACCTTCACTGTCCATAGAGGAACTAAGTCTGTGATATAATCATTTGAGGCTGATCAATAACTGGTTGGTCTCTTCTCGGAAATAGACTTTGTGAATAAGTCTTAGACTTGTGTTTCCCCTCATCTGTCTACACCTTTTGTCAAACAGGGTGAAATGAAAGCACAGTTCAATAAAAACGTAGCTTTGCTCACAACTTTACACTTAAAACCATCTTTTTGTTGATTTATACCCCATAAAAACAAGGTTCGGAACTCCCTTTTGTAAGCAGTTTTACGTTACCTTTCTGATGAATAAATACCACAAACTCTGCTTTATTTACACATTGTCCAACCACTAACCACTATAAACCCCATGAAAACCAATGTGTGGACACTCTTCTTCATGCCGCTATTCATGAGCTTTATCAAAGCTAGCTTATTGATCTGTATCATCGCAAACTAACGTCTAGGTCTATCCATCTTGGAACAGACCAATAGTGAAGCAATTTTGGTCTAAAAATTGTAAATGATTACCCTTTTTTCTCTGCATTTGATCCCAGAAACCAACCACAAAGCTCTGTTTGCTAAGCGACCATTTGGGAAGCAACATACCCCATTTTTTCTGGTACATTTTCTCCGATTTTTGACTAACTGTACCTGTGAGGCGTTACGAGCTGGAACTTTGCTTAGATTTTTGGACTCTGGCTTTGGGATTCATTTAGTGTGTCACTAGTTCTGGTTCTGTTCCCCCATCTTCATCCCAATGTATATCCTAGTCTCTATTTCAGGTCGGTTCCTTGGCTTTATTATCTTGGGTTATGGTTTTCCACCTTTGACTTGCAGTTTTTGCATTTGTTACTAGTTAAAATCAACTTTTGCTATCATGAATTATTCGGTTCCCCCTGTCTTTCTTGCCTGGGTGTGCATTTTGGATCCTATCGTGAAAGTGAGAACAGTTTCTATGCAGCATACTTATTTTTAAACCCTTTAAATTTGTGTCTAATTTGAAGACATTTATCCACTGATTGCTAAATCGCTAAATCAGTTACTTACTTATTTTAAATTAACATGAACTTAACTTTTTTGCTACTTTATCCATCTTCTCTTAACTGTTATACGATCTGAGAAATCCACCCTAAAGTGACTTTTTTTTTAAAGATGTAAAAATTAGGATGACATATATTACAACAACTAGCATAATCACTGTTTGGTTTTAATCCATATTACACTACAGGTCACACCTGTTATTGACTTGACTTGTATGTAAAATGTACTGGAGCAAAAAGAAAAAGTACAAAGACATGTGGAATCTATTGTAAAATACCATTGCATATTGCTAATTTAACTGTCTAAATTAGCCTTTGATGTGCTAATAACGAGCACCAAACCAACCAAACAGAAATCAAATATAAACTTGCCCCTCCTTGACAACGTTCAGCCCCCTACATGTCCAAAAAGTGAGAGCACACTGACACAGGTCCTACCTCGTGGGTGTGGAACTGCTCCTTGACCTCTTCCACGTGGTTGGAGATGGGAGGCTGTCCCTGGAGGCCATCTTCAGCCGACAGCAGCCACGTCAGCACCTTTTGCAGGCAGATTTTTATAGTCTGTTATCCATCCCAGGCCCATAAGGTCCTATTTCAGAGGTTACTATGAACACTGGCTGAAGATCTATCCAAATATTACCGATGACGCCATTAGAAACCATAGTCATACTGGGATTTATCCTCATTTCGGTCTCTGGTTGATCGAGTACAGACACTGCTCAATGCAAAGTTGGGTTTCGTGGTACAAAACGGAGGACATTCAGTGTTTTCTAACCTCCTCCAGCGAAGCCTGATAGCTCTCCAGGCTGGTCGAGCCTGGAGGCAACGGGCTGAGACCCCGCTGAAGCTCCTCCTGGTTGGGACTGAGGACCTAAAAAGGATGGACAGGTTGGCAAAGAGATTAGGGGTGTAAGGGCATAAGATATGGAAGTAGAGGAAAGGGAAGGGTTGGGGGAAAGAAGTAAAACGTCAGGTAATATGGCAGTCAACAGCAGATAACAAGCAGCAGGGAGGAGATAAAGTGAATGGAACAAATGTGACGACAGTTCAACAGAACAATTCGGGGGCTAGGTCCACCTTCCATCTCCCCTGCTAACGACTATCTTCTTGCTTCATTCTCTTCCCTATACCTCAGGCCAATCCCCAGACTGACCGCAGAGCTCTAATTGACCCCTTTGCCTGGTAAATGGCAAAAAGCTCACAAAATGGTCGTTCTCAGACCTACCATGGTTTATCGAGCTCTGGAGATTTGCCTCGTTACAAGATGATCCTATCTAGCCAGCTTGACGTTGGCTAGATTGGATCCTCCACTGTCTTTAGTTTTCTGTATCTTTTTCTAATTCAACATGGGTTTGATTGATTTTCACTCATCCAAAAACTCTAAAGGAAGCAACTTTCCCCATGGGTGAAACTTCCAGCCAGTGAGGTCATTTTCTTTTGTCTTTAATTGCTGAACATAGTTCAGGTTAGCTAGTTCTGATGGCCTGGGGTCGATGTTTATGCCTGTAATATAGGAATTGGTGCATTCTGAAAATTGTAGTCAATGGATAAAAAGGTGGATTTAGACCACCTGACCTGGAACAGTCAGAAATGTAGGCATGTTGACAAGATCAAGGCAACACAGAGGGAAATTAAGCAACTACAAGAGCTTTCAAAGGGTGCAATGAAGATAGATGTGGCAAGGTCGCCATCTTCGAGACACTGGAGACTACCAAACAAGGATTTGCCCCACTGAACCCTTCGGAAGTACATGTTCAGAGGGAGGGTAACCAGAGAATGGACCCATCTGGGGCTTAAAAAGCAGATAGGAGAGATTTGCATCTGATAACGGCAATGCTCCGTCACCATCCCATACCAGGCATCCAAGGAAGACATTTCAAGAATGGAGATTCGGACCTCACCAGGCCCTGGCATGATTCTGATATTGATGCTAACTGCACCCCTAGAACGCTTAGATTATGGCGTTCCAGGGGTGCTAGACCTAGGTAATTACACTATTACTGGTGTATAACCATCGGTTTCAAGAGGAATCGTTTGACACAATATTTGGGGACATTGCATGTCCAAGATCTAAGTAAAGATCTAGAGTAAAGATCTAGAGTAAATATCTAAGTAAAGATCTAAGTAAAGATCTAGAGTAAATATCTAGAGTAAAGATCTAAGTAAAGATCTAAGTAAAGAGTAAAGATTTAAGTAAAGATATAAGTAAAGATCTAAGTAAAGATTTAGAGTAAAGATCTAGAGTAAAGATCTAAGTAAAGATCTAAGTAAAGATCTAGAGTAAAGATCTAAGTAAAGATCTAAGTAAAGATCAAGAGTAAAGATCTAAGTAAAGATCTAGAGTAAAGATCTAGAGTAAAGATCTAAGTAAAGATCTAAGGATTTTTCCTTTAAAGTAACTATCCCCAGCCAAAAATACGGCAAAGCTCCTGATGGACATCCATTGAAGGCAAAACGTTTGAAACCTTTGCGAGACCAGAAGCATTTTTGTTTCTATGACACAGCCGAAAGCAAAATGCTGACAGAGCAACATGTACTCAACCCAGACAAGTGTTAGCGTCACAAGACACGGACCTGATCAGTATAGCGCCTCCTCTTTTGCTCTGGCGAGGTGACATAGGCAGCCTGGGTGTAGGCATAGCTTTTATAGCGAGGCTGAGGAGAGGGGCTCTGCACTCGGCCCTGAGCCACACTCACCGTGATCTGAGAGAAGAGACAGAGGGGGAGGACAGAGCAGAGGGAGGGAGGGAGGGAGGGAGGGGTGGGCACAGATCAGAGAGGACAGAGGCACGGAAACACAAGCAGAGCAACGCAAAACATGTCACAAAAGCCCAACTTTGTGAGAGACAGAGTGAGAGACGAGGAAACAGACGGGAAAAAGAAACGTGCAAAATCCAAATAAGAGCAGAGCGGCAAAAAAAGAGCATAGCTAATCTCAAAAGGTCTGCTTCCATCCAAATGAATGTTTTCTGACTAAGCACGATTGAAGAAAAGCCGAACACGTTTCCATAAGTAGGATTAATAGCTACTGTACTTTTTTCTCAAGTGAATATCGATATGTCATGATGTGTCCCTTTATAAAAATGTGTTGGACTGTGTAACTGTGGAAGGTTAACTCTATTATCAAAGATGTACATCTTCTGCCAAGTCCAAAGAGTAAAAAGATGATGATAACTCCTTATAATTCCTATTGGATAATGCATATTTCAGAACCAATTCAGTTTTTTTAAGCCCTCTTTTCTGTGCTCCTGCCATAAGATGACCAAAAAAACAAAAAAGGGGACAAAACTACTCTAATCATCACAGAAATGTGGAGCAAAAGACCAGAATAAGGGACACACTTATCAGAAATTACAAAAAGAAAGAAAACTGCCAAAAAGTCTGGCAAAAGACCAGAAAATAACTCAATAGACTAATCAATAACTGGACATAAAACGCTAATAATTAGCCTTAAAATGACCAAACTGTGGGGCAAAAGACCAGAAAAGGGAATAAACTGATCACAAAATGACAATAAAGACTAAAAACTGACTCAAAAAAACTTTCCCATTTATATCTACTTATAGCTAGGCATACTTTCCAATTTTGGTGGGAATTGGACAATAAGTTTGAAAATGCGTCAATGACAAATCGATTTTCAAGGGGATGTTTTTTTAAGTTGCGACCTGGGATGGAAACAGGGCTAAAGATACAGACATGAGACACAGACAGACACAGAAAGCCTCTTTTTAAGACAGTTCCTCCACGTTCCCTTCTTAATGAAACCACAATACCGGCCCTCTAGCCTCAGACCGAGACGTTTAGTTGAACTGAATCCATTAGGAATTCATTTTAGGTGCCGATGAAAACAGATAGGGGGTTTTATCATTTAAGAGTGATGCGTTCAGTGAGAGTGGCTGCTTGGGAAAGACTTCTTGGATTCCAAGTTCAGAAACAATAGCACAAAAAGAGCAGGATTTCACGTTGGATTGAAAATTTGTCATCTCCTGCAAGATTAAACATAGTGGTTTATTTCAAAGGATCACCGAAAGCCTTGAAAATACAGTAGAAACTCTACATAAGAATTTTAATTGTTCCAGGACCTACTTCGTACGTTTAAATATTCGTATTTTCAAATCTTGCATCAGAATACTCTGTAATTCTTAGAATTGGTTCCAAAAACCTACGATAACTCCTTAATAAATACTGTAGATAATTAGTAGTAGTATTAGTACTATTAGTAGTATTTCTAGTATTTTCTTACTATTTCCAAGTCAGTTATCAATGTCCCCTTGGCTGAATGCCACGTTACGTAATCTCAAAAGAAGTCCTTGATTCACTCATGTCCAGTAGAACCTCTACTTCCGATTTCTTTATGATTTATTTCTTGTGTAATTATCTGCAGTATTTATTAAGGAGTTAGGAGTAAGGAGGTTTTTGGAACGAATTATACGAATTACAGTGTATTCTTTTGGGAAAATTTGAACCAACATACCAATATTTTAACACAGTAAGTAGGTCCTGTAATGACTTAAATTCGTATATAGAGGTTGTACTGTATTTAGTTGCACTGTCCAGGAAATGCTGTAAGGAGATGTCAAGGCTAACCCCCCTCAATGTGCCCAAACACTTGCGGCTTCTTTAGAAAGCCCAGTTCCATCTGAATGATGGACAGAAACGGTTAGTCTGATCCTCTCACGGGTGGGAGTGGGGGGGGTTTGTGCTCTAGACAATGTCACAGAAAAGCTGACATCCACTCATTTCATGCCGTCATCTTCAATATAGATCACTTGTGCTGAGCGCTGGATCTCCGGGGCTGTGAGAGGCGGCTTTGATGGTGAAATACGATGCAGGCTGCAGATAAAAGCTGCTGCGCGCCTCCATCTCCGATCGTGTCATCACTTTGCCCGTTTCCCACATGCTGCCTGCCACTCTTCACTGCTTCTCACTCTTAAGTGAGTCGGTTTGGACTTAATGCCTCCCCGCTTGAGCTGGGTTCGCCCTGCTCTGTCTTTCTGCGCTTCAATTTCAAAATGGAAATGAGTACTACCAGGGCAGGGTTCCCCTCTTACTAACAAAGTACCAAGATGATAACCACTTAGTATCCTTAAATTGAACTTCCTTCTCTTATTAACTCATGCCCCATTTTCTTGTGCCTGCTTCATCTTATAAACTGAACTTAACCAAGCTGACAATCTGTTTGTTGTACTTTATAGTCAAAGTGTATTTGATTTTCTTGTAAGTCGCTTTGAATTAAAGCTAAATTCATCCCTCCACCCATTTTCTTCCAGTCATCCAGAGCAGTAGGGAGACTACCCAGACTTCGCTCTCTTTGGCCACATTCGTCAGCTCGTTCAAGGTATCCTGAGGCATACCCAGGCCTAGAACACCTCACCATGGAGGCGTTCAGGAAGCATCCTAAACCAGATGCCCAAACCATCTCATCAAGCTCCTCTCAATGGGGAGGAGGAGAGGCTCTACTTCGACCCCCTACCCAATTTCTCACTATCCCAATCTGGCCACCCCAGCAAGGTAACTCTTCTATCCGTGATCAATTCATATCTTATCTTGAACGCAAGACCACAGACATGGTGGCGGCCTTCTCCAGGAGAGGGAGTTTTTGACAGCAATCCATGGGCAGAAGAGCACGGTTAGTTTCTGACTGCACCTTAAAGTCCAACACAGAGGGAATCCTACTGGTGCTACTCCATCCACCCGTTGAAAGTCGATTCTAAAACCATTGGTCTTCCAGTTAGGGACTTTTCCTTACGAGGTTCAGGGGGCTTCCCTCAGGGGGTTGGCTACGCTGTCCAGGATTCAGGACCTAGTAGACGACATTAGTGGCCTTCGTCCCCAAGGCTGCTCAACTACTCCTCCTCCACCCAAGTAACACTCGTTAACTGCAATTTGCATCCCGGAAATGTATCAACTATTTTAATTTTCCATCTTTAACCCTCCTTCATACCCCGGTTTCAAAGAAAACGGGGTATGATTGACCCCAGGAGGGCGCAGACTGGTTAACCTGGCTGTACCCTAATTTGTCCCCCTAGGGACAAATAAAGTTTTTTTAATAGAATTTACGACTTTCGCCCCTAAAGTAAAGACAGTTATACCAGTATAAGGATCAGAAGGATGAGAAAACAATGTAACACATATGATAACCTGTTGGGGGGTAAGGGAAGAAAAACCTGAATCACAGCAGATGTTATGAGCTAGAGAGCTTAAGGTTAATGTCTCAAATAACAGAGATGAAAATACGTAAAGGTTATAAGGCCGCAAAAGGTTCCAGAGTACCAGAAACATAGATAGATAGCGACATCTTCAAACCACTTGTAATTAATCTTGAAATCTTTAGAGAAAAAGCCTCAAAACACGGCAAAAACATGCAAGTTGTGGTCCGATTGGAGTCAAAGACGACCGAAACGCTGAAGGCGTTGTGATCTCTAACCTGTTGCGAGTAGCGCTGCTTGGTCTGGATTTGGTAGTGCTCCTCTGTCGTAACCCGGGTGACGCCTCCGGTGGTCGCCGGGGGCAGCGTCTCCACCTCCCGAATCGCTTCCAGGGACACGCTTTGGGGGAAGACTTGGAAGAGCGACGTCACGTACATGATGATGCTCTTCTTGTCGGGGTGAGAGACCGCCACATCTACGCAGCAGAACAGAACGGTTTTGGCTCTGGTCTGAATAACAGTATAATATAACAATGATGAGAGGAATAAATGAACCCTCGGCGTCAGATAATAGCTTTTTATCTGACAGGAGAGTCAGGGTGAGGAATGCCAGCCAAAAAAGGAGCAAATGTTTCCAAGTCCACAGAAAGAGTTGGACATGAATGAATGACCCAGAATATAAAACGATTTGTTATTATCATTCCAGAGTAAGAAAGTCCAATTGAAATGATAATCCAACAACAAACTTGATGGCCTCTCCAGCTTTGGCGTGCGCCCCCGGCACTGAGAGACAGATTATTCAAGGGGAAGCCAATTTGCATAAGACTGGATCCCATTTCCCAGGCACATCAATTGATAATGCACTACGTGCACATCCATCCTGGAAGACACAACGTGATAGTCTCTGACTCTTTCACATTCACTCTCTGAAGTGGTGAACTATGAACGTGGACAAACACAAAACTGCCAATTACAGCATGTGGTTGGAGGCAGAAAACCACGGGAAGACCGTAGATACCCACAGATAAGTGTTGTGTTCAGTGTTAGCGTGACGCTTACCCTCAGGGTCCAGCAGTCTGTCTATCCCCAGGTGTTCTTCGGCCTTACTAAAGGCATGCTCAAGTCTGTCTGTTGCCGTCTTCTTCTCAACTGAGTTCCAGTCAAAAAGCTCGGGCCTATGCAGACAAAAAGGAGATGAACAAGGATCATGTACCCACCTTACTGTATCTTTATTTCATTTTGGAAATATGGAAAGATATATTTTGGAGTTTGCCCCACTGGTACCCTTTGGGGCCAACTGTTTTCCTGGAGTTTGTTCCACTGGTACCCTTTGGGGCCACCTGTTTTCCTGGAGTTTGCTCCACTGGTACTTATTGGGGCCACCTGTTTTCCTGGAGTTTGCCCCAC